CTCAATGAATCGGCAAAAACACCCACACAGCCTGGTGGAGGGCAAGTTATCCTTTCACCCGGGTATGGAGCAAACAGCCTTATCGAAGAAGGAATATAAACCTCTCCTCGGAGGTTGACAATATATGCGTTAGTTAGGATACTTGGTTTGCCTCTATATTCATCAATCGGTTCAGGCCACCGACGTGCGGGACGTCTCCAATAATCGGGAAGCGACATAGCATTCTCTTCGACCGACTTATCCTCCTCGACAATATCCTTTTTAGATTCAGTCTCTTAACGAGAAGGGGATCCCATCGGTAATATTTGAGAGGCAATTCCAAATCCTCGTCAGTAAAAATCCTAACCTCTGAAATTGTGCGGCTGCTACTATCTTCAGCTTGAGAAGACATCTTTTTCGAGACCGATAAAAATAAAAACAAGCTCGAAATTGGTGAGTGCCGAAATATAAAAGATTAGGGCAAAATCTTATCGAAACTCTTGAAGCCTTGAATTGAAGAAGACAAAGAAAGATTGCACAAATTACGCAAGACAGATGTTGAAAGAGAAATTTGAAGAAGACGGAATACAAAAGTAAGCAAAAGATATGAAGATTCAGAATAAAGAAACTTTTCACAAGTCAAAACCGACAACAATTTATAGGTTTTGATTTATAGCCGTTGATCAAACCCGAGATCGGCGCGTGTAACGGACGTGTCACTAAATAGTGCAACGTTACAGTAATGATTAACAGACGTGGGCAAATCCGGAAACGCTATCTCGCCCGACAATTCTATCCGTTGGTTAAATGCGGACGCGTCTTTTGAGAACTGCCACGTCAATCCAAACGTCACATAACCGTCGCAGACAAAGATGAAAATAAACCAAATGTTCCCATGTCGGTCGCAAAATAAAGAGAAATCGGAAAACCGCCAAGTCGGAACTATAAAGACAATAACGACATCAGCAGCTATTTGACCAAAAAAGCTCAAATACCTACTAATGTCGGCGGCCTCTCTGTTGATAACCGACTTGGTTTCATAAGGTTAGAGCCGAAGATTAATTGTTTTACTCGATTAATAATTCCTCAGAAATGACTAAACTTAGCTCAAGTCGGTACTAGTTAGATATGTTGATCGCCGACTTCTAGATGGTCAAGGATAAAACGGAGAAACCAACTATCTATCAAAAGCCGACAACCGACTTCACCAATGTGTTTACAAAAGATTGTCCGTTCATCCGACATCCGAGAAGATCGAATTTTCAAGCAAAAGGTGTTGTACACATTCGATTGGACCATCAAAATAAAAAGTAATCATTGATGTTTCCTCATTTCGCTACACACCGCTTAATTGAAGCTGCTCAACATTAAATGCGATCTTATCTACCTCGGATAAAAAGACAAAAGCAACCGAACTATAAATAGCAGAATTTATGGTTATACAAGGATCTTTTTCGAAATCGTTTTTTGCACATTGTACATGGACTTGAAATGATCTCGGTCAAGAACAAAAAACTGACTTCCTGTACTCTTGTGAACATATCAATAAAATCCGATTTTATCTTTATCTTTGTTTAAACACACCCAGCTGTTCATGATTTTGAGTTGTTAATTTCATACAACAATAGGTCTCATGATCGGAAAGATCTTCAAAAAAGTAAAAAATGTGTCTGTAATCAAACCTACAGTAGGGGAGGGAAGTTAAATTAGGCTTCTCATCACGGTTGACATCAATTAACCTCTACCCAGATGCATTAATATGAAGTTGAATGATAATCAGGTCCTGTGTAACACCCCGCTCATCAGAGTAAATTTTTCGCAACTTTTACTTCGAAAATACTTATAACTTTTTTCGAAATCTTTTGCAACTAACTCGGGATGCTACTCAAACTCATCTTTTCTGGAAATCCGTTTATCTTTAAACTTTGTCTAATTCTTCTTTAGACATAAAGAAAACAGATTTTAATTAAACTTGCATTTAACTATATCATATTCATACTTCTGAAATGATAAAAACTTGAAATCTGAAATTTATTAGAATACAAGTTCAAGTCTCAATATGCGTAGCGGCAATACTTAAAAACGCAAGTCTCAATATGCGTAGCGGCAATACTTAAAAACGTGAATAATTATACAGACATATCAAGTTCATAATAAATGTCCATTTAAAGAAGTGCACGACCACCACCACCACTTCTTGAGCTCACACCTCTGGCCCGACCCTGTTATCTGAAAAACACAATGGGGGTGAGTACTGATCCTTTTGTACCCCGAAAACACCCATACTAAAGTAAACAGCAATAATAATACAATATCATGATCGTTGGTATATAACTGGACTGGAAATCTTTTCCAGTAACTGAAACTGAATCTGGCCGATATCTGATCGGATACTTGTGCACAATCTGTTGGATATTTCTCAAGGCAACTAAGGGCCTCCATCAGAACTTAGGATATACTCTAAGGCAACTGAATTCCTACTCATCCCAAGCGTATAAACTTAAACTGTATACATACCTCGGACATGATATCAATATTATACTCAATGTAATACCCAGTCTGGGTCCCCACCTTTCTTCTTTTGAAACTTTGAAAAGCGTAAGTGTTGTTCTTTGGTAGCTAACTCCTCAAGCTACATAAAAATATAAACAAATATACTAAGTACTATGCTCGTATACTCAATAAGATGCTGGGATTCTTAACTCTACCAGATAACTTATCCAAATCTTAAAGATATTCATTAAACATGCTATTGCTCAAATGAATACTAAATCATTGAAAAACCAAACTTTTCTTAAACTTTTACTCAAGGTCAAATACTTAACCCATATAAATCATATCTTTCAAAATCTTAGATATTGGCTTATACTCGCATGTCACTTAAATAACTCGTATGTGAAAATAAACTAAATTTCACATTAGACTTAATTGAATACATAAACTCAAAACATGCTCAACTTTTACCAATATCATATACATGATTTATACGGATTTTTAATCTATCAAACTTGTCTTAAACTTGCTTGATACTAAAATCTCAAACTTGATGCTTATTCAATACAAATCATAACCATAAATTATGATATTGATATACTAGACTTGAAACAATTTTTTAAAATCACATACTCAACATATTGAGCTGAAACTTGGTCAAATTGCTCATCACTCATATAAGAATTTTTCCTAAAAATTCCATTTTAAAAACACAACCATGTACTGAATACTCTTGCATATAAAATCATCTTGACATGTATGCCATATAAATATTTTAACTCGTTTATTTCTCAACATAAAATCATGAAATTTGGCAGTCATGTTCTTAACCCATATATAAGCATGTCGTAAAAATTTCATAATTTTATCATGCGTATATATCGAGTTATTACAATTTTAAAGTCATAGCTGAAATAAAGAACATAAAATTCAACTTGCATGCTTAACTTCAAAATTTATAACTCAAGCTATACTATGTCAAATGACATAATTCTTTCACCTATATACTCAGCACTTACACAAGAAATATCTATAATAAGCTTAACATGCCAGGTTATGCATATCATGCTCAAATTCAAATCAAAACAGTACATATATAACATGTGATTGTGCTGGAAACAACTTATCATTTTTTTTTCATGCTTAAAATTTCTTTAAAAATTGAATATATATATATATATGGCATGAAATTACATCAATATTCACTTAATATAAACTACAACATATGATAAAAAGGTAGCATCTAACCTTCTTCAAGAAATTTGAAAATGAAACTTCGGAAGTTGATCTCAACTTATCTTCGTCAAGATTTCTCTCGATTTATCTCTCTTTCCTACCCTCTATAGCTAAGACTTTGCTTATTATGATGTGAATTTCGAGCCTATGCTGATGCTCCTTTATATAGGGTAGCAAAGGAGACAACATCACCTTCTTTACATCAACACTCCATCATAATAAACACCATAGGCCCCTTATCATTAATGTTTTTCTAAAATCTTGCACAAAGATGATTAAGCCTTGATAAGTACTTGTAATGCATGATTTATCTTTCATATATCAAGACAAACCTTCTCCCTTTGACCATGCCTCGAAATTAATCTAAAAATGGCTCATTTATCCCTTAAAAAATACTTAGAAAAATTTTATAAAAATAAATAAAGATAAAGAATGGAAATCATAACTTGTAAACATAACAAATCTATAGTCAATACTTAGGAAGGCCCATCATGTGATCCTAATATGATTTCCATGATAAAATTCGTGACTTAATGAAAAATTTCCAATTTACAGAACCGAATTCTGACTTAAAACGAACGGTTACCGAAAAATCAAAAATTCTAAAAATTTCAGATTTCCATCTTTTGCTTTTGGCCTTTTTCCTTTTTATGCTGAAAAAAATTTTAACTCTTATTAATGATCTTGAAACTTGTAAAAAAAAATACAAGAAAATAAATTTTTCGGAAACGAAATCGGACTTAATTATCGACTACAACCGAACATCGAAAAAACTCGAAACTTGCGAATATAATTTTGAATATACTCTTAATAATATAAATAGACCTTCTTGTCTAAATAACTTCTACTTAATCCTTATAACTTATCAATCAAATCATATAAGTCACATAAAATACTTAGGCAATTTATAACATTTACTCGACTAACTCAATTTAATGAAAAACGATTTCGATTTAACTTTAATGTCGAGCCAACTGAATCGTTTCTAACTAAACTGGTCATTACATCAACTTGATGAATTTAAACACTTAGAAAAATTCTAAGTATTTAATACTAAGGCTCGACTATAAATTAGGATTTCTCGGCACGGTTAACTTGAACCGAGCTTAATTTACTTATAAGGCCAACCTTTGCTTAATTTTACTTCCAAATTAATGGATTGATCTTGACCCTATAATGAAAAATAAAATTCTAAGAGATTTATTAAGGCTTGGAAATATAAAAGATCATTATTAATAAAAGTAAAATAGTTCTAACATAGAACTGAAATAATTACTTTTATTAATTACTGAATGGGATATTACATCCTGATCAGGTTTCAGTATGAGAGGTTAGTGAACCTCGATTATTATTGTGGCAACTTAGGACATCTTGACAGGTTGTGTAGCAAAAGGCTTGCTGATATAGAAAATGGATGTTTAAGAGAGGGACAATATGGGGATTCGTTGAAAGCCATTGTAGGAGGGAGTAATACCAGATCCAGTCATTCTAGCAGCTTTTACAAAACTGACACAGCACCCCCCAGACCAGAGTTCAATAGGCCAACAGGTTTTACAAGACTGAACCCTGCTAAGTGTTCTTTCGAAGTGAAGTCGGGAAACTTTCAGGGGTATATGGTGACAAAGAGGGGGATCGAGGTGAGCCCGGAAAAGGTGAGGCAGTGATCAAGATGAAACCGCCCACAAAGGTGAAGGAGGTGCAGATCTTGACGGGCCGAATTGTGGGTTTGAGCCGGTGGCAGAGAAGAGCGGCCCCCTGTTTCGATCACTGAGGAAGAGCTCGAAATTCCAGTGGACGGAGGAGGCTCAGAAATCATTCGAAGAGTTGCAGAAGGTGTTAGCCAACCTACCTCTGTTGGCCAAGCCGGTCCATGGAGAAGACCTTGTGCTATACATATCGATCGGGGAAACGGCGGTGAGTTTGGTGTTATTGCGGGAAGAGGGGACGATGCAATTCCCGATCTATTATGTGAGTAGGGTGATGCAAGGAGCAAAAAGGAGATATTCGGAGGTCGAGAAGTGCGCCGTAGCAGTGGTAGCTACGGTGAAAAAGTTGCGGCCTTATTTTCTGGGCCATAAAGTGAAGGTGAGAAGGAACATGCCTCTGGGAGAAACTTTAGGCCGACCCTCTGTATCGGGTCGACTAGTGAAGTGGAAGGTCGAGTTGAGCGAATATACGATAACATATGAGCCTAGGAGGGCGATCAAGGCGCAGACGCTGGCTGATTTTATACAGGAGGGTACATGTAACGCCACGATTATTATTATAATATTAAGATGATTTTTCACTGCTCGACTTTTAAGTGAAAATTCATAAATTAAGAAGTTCAAGATTTATTTATTAAAGTAAAATGCTAAGTGCTAAAAAAAATATAGTAAGTTCATTTTAAGTATAGACTAAGTGTTCAAATATATATATATATATATACATATATATATATATATATATATATATATGTATATATATATATATATTAAGTCCATTTTCAATTATTCAGATAATTTTATTCGAATGATTCGTTCGTTCCGAACACTAGTTATCGAGCCTTAAAAATAGGTTATTATAAGTAGTATCACACTTAGAATATTTTCTAAGTGTTGAGAAGTTCATGTCCAAGCCATAAATCAAGTACATAAGTCGAGCCTTTTAACGAGCCGCGTGCACCGAGCCTTAACGCAACCGAGCCATGCCTAAGTGTGGGAAATATTTTCTAAGTGTGGGGAGATTTTTCTAAGTGTTGGAAGTGGCTTTTGAGCCTTGCAAAGGGACCAAGACCCGCAGCCCACGAGTCCCGCGCCAGCAGCCCAGGCCGCACCATTCCTCGCAGGCCTCCTGCACCATTCCCCGCAGCCCAGCAGATGCCCGCGCCCGGGGACAGCGCCCAGCCCAGCGGCAGCAGCGACCATCCCATCTTCCACGGCCCAAATCAGCTACCTCCGGCCCACTTGTCTCGAGCCCAACTTTGAGGAATGATAGTACACTTCCTAAAGAGTGTTTTCAGCCCACTATTGACCCAAGACTAAGTCTTGGTCAAGGTCAACCAACACAAGTCTTAAGATAGTGCACATATGTTGAATATTTTATTCCTAGGACTATGAACTTGTTCCCCACTCTCTCTACTAAATACAAACATCCTCCTTAATCAATGTGCTCAGCAAAACCAAGGGAGAAACCACAAAAAATGAGCTAGACATGTCCCCCATGACTCCAAACACCAATGCACATGATTTAGTGGAATGTCCCCCACTTTAATCTTGCTTTTGAACCCTTTGACCAAGACCATGAATTCTCCCCCTTATAAACTCCTTCCTCAGCCTTTGGGACTCTATTTGGCTCACAAAAGTTCGGACACCACATAATAAATAGAGAGAAAACAAGAGAACTCCTCACCTTGCACCACCCACGCGCGGAGCCACCGAAAGGACGACCACCACCGAGCTCTAGCCATCATCCTCGGTTTCTCTCAAGACTTAGCACTATCCAAGTCTCTCTTGTATTTTCTTAATTGAACCCCTCAACTCAGCCCAAGGTCAACCGAGGCAAGCCTCAACACACCCAAGCCTGAAACAAGCCCTAGCCACGACCCCTCGCGCATTTTTGACTTTTATCAAGGTAAGTCCGATCCAAACCACTTCCATTAGCTATTATATGATAAAAGATGATTTATCATGTAAAGAAATCAAGTCATATTAGCCATTTATCATGAGTTTCGAATTTTAAGAAATTATTATTTTAAAATCGGATTTTTAGTTCAAGGAATGTTTAGGATGATTTCTTTGGCTAAATGTCACTTAAAAATCATGATTTTATATGAGTATTGTTAGAGTAGGGTACCCGGCGTTCCAATCTAATTGGACGTATTCTACTTATAAATACAGTCTATTGGAATTATATTATGAATAAGGCATTTCTTTATCTTAAGAGAAAGCATTTATCTTATAATTGCACTTAAGATAAAATCCCTAGATCACTTATGGTTATAAGGTATGGTTGCGCATAGAGATGGTGATCATGGAACATACCTTGAAAGCCGTGATCTTAAATACAGTTCCAAGTCGATGGATGTTTCGAGATGGGATATCGAATATAAAAGACTTGCACATAGTTTGTATGCTTGTTGGACAAGAATGTTGCATTCCATCAACATTAGCCTAAGACGTAAGTACATTTTATGTGGGTGCTTGTTAGAGAACAAGTTCACTGAACATGACCGTATGAAAAATTCTTAATGAAGAATTTATTCAGTCGAATAAGAATTTTCATGTTACAATAGTACATGACTAATCCTAAGACTTGAGGCACAATGGTAACTTTGTGATATTACATTCTACTTTGATTTATCCTTTTGGTAGCTAGCACTATCGTTTAAAGGGATAAGTTGGGTATTATGTTAATATGTATGGAAGTTTGTTATTGGCCAATAAAGGATTCGACACTTATGAAGATAAGTGAATTTCCTATGTGTTTCATAGTTATTAATCCAAAGTCCTTGGCCAAGGCAGAGATGAATAGTGATTCATAACAGGGTTAATAAACTTGAAATAGAATCATAGTTATTAAGTCAATTTAGGTTTCGACAAAATCATACCCAAGGCTTAATCGGGAAATTAGATGTCGAAAGGATTTTACATGTATGGAGTTGTAATCGGAATAGGTTTACTCGCTATTCACTTAATACTAGATTCATGCTACTTGCTAGGTGTTCCCATGATATGTGGGTTCTTGAATTAAAGGGTTAATTCATGAATAAGAGTTAATGTGATTAACTCAAATTACAAAGAGTTGTAAACCCACTACTAGTATTAAGGTGAACCTAAAAGGTCACACCTATTATGAACAAAGGTGAAAAATTGTATTTCTAAAGAGTTAGAATTAATTGACATAATCTAATTTGATTAGATATCAATTAAAAGGAATATATTAATCAATAAGATTGATTAATTACATTTTGGATATTACTTTAGTAATTAAGGTAATTACTAAATTAATATGTTGGAATTTAAAATTGGATTTTAAATTTCCAAACCAAAATAATAATAATATGATTATTATAATATGGATGTAAATTGGGAAAATGAATATAATAATAAAGTCTTGAAAAGATTCTCAAGATTTATTATTCTATTATTATTTTTATCTTTAAATATGATTTAAGGATTAAAATAATAAATATGATTATAATAAAATGGTGGTTTGAACCACTTAACATTATTTATTATTTTCAAAGTCAATAGTTAGTAAATTCAAAGTCAATAGTTAGTAAATATTTTTTTTTTTTCAAACGGCATAAAATATCTCATAAAAAAAAACCCCAAAAGGCAATGTACAGCCCGAAGCCGGGAAAATGAGAGGTTACACCCATAACCAATGTAACCTAGACGGAATACCAGCTAGCAACGCTAGCAATACGAGCACNACAAACCCAAAAAGCAATGTACAACCCGAAGCCGGGGAAAATGAGAGGTTACATCCATAACCAATGTAACCTAGACAGAATACCAGCTAGCAACGCTAGCAATACGAGCATACTACGACACCAACTGAACCTAGAAAAACAACAAAACGAAACATAACGAACCCCAACAGGGTAATACCTGAGTGTAAGCTCCCAACAGGAGAATAAAGGCTACACTCAGGCTGAACCGGGGCCAACAGCCCAAACCAAAAACACATAAACCACATCAACACAAATAACACAGACACAAAGACAAAAAGAGAAAAAAAAACAACCTAATCAACAACAAGAACTACAACGGAGCCCTTCCCCAGTGATCTGAACTAAGCTCAACCAGCAGTGAACGACCGACACAACGAAAACCTCGAGCCCGAGAACCGCTACCGAAACTGCACGAACGCCTATACAGCAGATGAACTCAATCCCCGAAATATTCCCGAATCGGCCCGTCTCCAACCAAGAGAAACAACCCTCCCCACAGCCCCACACGAACCCGTCTACCACCACTAGCCGAGCTCGGAAAAGCCATATCCCTGCCGCCTAACACCACTAGATGACAGAGGAGGAAAAGAGAGTCGACTTCCCTCAACTCCGGCAACCCGACGAAGGACACAGCCAAAGGCCCGCCCCACCACGCTGCTGCCAAAGTCCCACACCACCACATTCGACCCACACATCTCACCTTACCACCATAAACCGCCGGCACCCGGAAGTCAACCTCCACTTGAAGCTCCACCGGAAAAGGCGACGACATTCGAGAGGGGCCCTCAGTTTGCAGATCAGAGGTAATGCGCGAGGGCGACGATTTCCAACCAAGGATCTGCCGGCGATTGAAACGCCGGCCAACCTCCGACCAGGAAACGCACCATAGGTCGGCCCACCATCTGCACCCGAAATCCGATCCCCCATCTCCGACAATCCACAGCAACACCGGAGATACGCCAGTCATGAGTGGAGCGAGCAATTGAAGACGACCATTGGCCGAGATAGACGTCACCGGGGAAGGCCTATCGACGGAGCGATTGCGAGAGAAAAGGGCGGATGGATTTTGGGGATTAGGTTTCCGGAGAGAATTGGTTGATCTTCAACTAAATCAATAACTATTGTATTTATCATATTTATACATATTATTTTGTTATATTTGTAGTCCGGATGGCTTGAAAATTCTAGCTCCGCCCCTGCATAGGAGTGTTGTATTGTAGTAGTTTAGTATGTTACTAGTAATACTATACGTTCATACTCAATTTTATGTGTATAGGGTGTTAATACTGGTACAAGCGATGTTTGTCAAATAAAATATTTGATTCAAATGTGAAGATAATATTATATAAATCAAAATATTCATATAAATTCATATTTTTAAAGACAGCTGAACCTGATAAATGCCGAGAGACTTGTGATAAACCTTTCTAGTTATATGAATTTTGAGCTTCTATTTTTGGACCTATTCCTCTCATAAATCTCAAATACCTGTTACTTTCAATTTTGTACATAAACAAAACCACCTATAATTCCCTTCCAATAGTGGGCAGCTGTTATCAGAAAGTCAAGGGATACAAAACCCATTTTTATAACATAATGTTCCAATAAAATAAATAAGGGTTTAATGCACCAAACCCCCCTTGTATTATACGAAATCTGCGCGTTTCCCCCCTATATTTTAAAAATTGCGTCAGACCCCCTTCTATTAAGGTTTTGTATGCGCGAAACACCCAAAATTTAGACGATTTTGGGTGTTTCGCGCATACAAAACCTTAATAAAAGGAGGTCTGACGCAATTTTTAAAATACAAGAGGGAAACGCGCAGATTTCGTATAATACAAGG